AAGAAATCGCATCAGTTGTCTTTTACAAGTTGGCACAGGAAATTCATAGATAGCTTTGACCTTAGCTTCTATTGGTTTTACTTTACCCTGTCCCACTACATGTCCTAAAAATGTTAAAATTGCATGACAAAATTCACTTTTTGCAAGATTAACTGTCAATTTAGCATCACTAAGTCGGTCGAAGAATGCTCTTATTGTTTTGAGATGTTCCTCCCATTCATCAGAATAGATGATTGCGTCATCAATGTATGCGTCACATCCGTGTAGACCAGATATTACCATGTTTATAAGTCTCTGAAAAGTTGCTGGTGAGTTTTTCATACCAAATGGCATGACTTTATATTGATATAAGCCGTCTGGTGTTACAAAGGCTGATATTTCTTTAGCTCTATCAGTAAGTGGAACTTGCCAGAATCCTTTTAGAAGATCAAACTTTGTTACATACTTTGCTTTTCCAATTTTGTCAATACAGTCATCAATTCTTGGTATAGGAAATGAATCAGTTTTTGTTACAGAGTTCACTTTACGATAATCTGTACACATTCTATATGTTCCATTTGATTTCGGTACAAGAATACATGGAGAGCTGTAATTGCTTTGACTTGGTTCAATAAAGTCATTATCCAATAAATACTGAACTTCTTGTCTTAGGTACTTTTGTTTTACAGGATTTGTTCTATATGGATGCTGTTTTATTGGTTCAGAGTTTTCAAGAATGACGTCATGATGTATTTTGTCAGTTCGTGTGGGAATATCAGGAAATAAGTGTTCATATTCATAAATAAGCTGTTTCAGTTCATCTCTGACTTTCTTTTCAATAGTATAAGGACCAAAGTATCTTGCCTGTAATGGTTTTCCAGGTATAGGTAAAAGAGCAAGTACTCTATCACCAGGGTTAAAACTTCTTTCCTGAGCATTCTCATCATACCTTGATTTCATTTTACTTTGTGTTGATTTTAAATTAACCCTAGCTAACTCACATGCATTAGTCAACCTATTTCGAAAATCTGATACATACTGAAGCAAATTTAAAGATATGTCATCTTCAGACAGGAATTTCTCTTTTAGAAGTTTTAAGGGTCCTCGGACAGTGTGACCAAATACTAATTCAAAAGGGCTGAAGCCAAGAGATTCCTGAACAGATTCTCTTACAGCAAATAACAATAAATGGATGCCTTCATCCCAGTCTTTTTCAGTGTCAAAACAATATGACCTTATCATATTTTTCAGAGTCTGGTGAAATCTCTCTAATGCACCTTGACTTTCAGGGTGATAGGCTGAAGACCTATATTGAGTAATTCCTAACTCGTGCATGACCTGCTGGAAAATACCAGACATAAAATTTGACCCTTGATCAGACTGTACTGATTTAGGTAAACCAACAAATGTGAAAAACTTCACAAGAGCCTTGACAATAGTTTTGGCTTTAATATTCCTTAAAGGAATAGCTTCAGGGAAGCGCGTAGAAGCACACATAATAGTTAATAAGTACTGAGAACCTGATTTAATTTTTGGTAATGGACCTACACAGTCAATAATAACTCTACTAAAAGGTTCATCAAATGCAGGAATAGGCTGTAAATGAGCTTTAGGTATTGACTGGTTAGGTTTTCCAACCATCTGACAAGTATGACAAGATTTACAGTACCTAGATACATCTGCTTTAAGGCCAGGCCAATAAAAATGACTGAGAATTTTATGGTAGGTTTTATTAACACCTAAATAACCTGCCATGGGTGTTACATGAGCCAAGTTTAATATTTCTTGGCGATATGATTTAGGGACCACAATTTGGTGATTAACAGTCCACTCCTCTTCAGCAGGGACATCGGGCGGTCGCCATTTTCTCATAAAAATCCCATTTTTTTTCATAATAACAAACAGGGACTTGTAAAGCTTCATCTTCACTAAAAGCCTTTTGATAAAGGACTGAAATCTCAGGATCATTTTGTTGTTCCTGGATAAGCTGTGACCTTGACAGCATATCATGACCTTGATCTTTAGATCTTGGTGTAGAAAAATCAGATATTGAAAAATCTGTCTGTGTTTAAGGCAGAGTAGGAGTGAGAGAAAAAATTATTTCATTATCAAAAGACTGACCTATAAAAGTATCAGCTAAGTCAATATCTGAACAAAAATTGTCTTCTTGAATGGCCTTCTTAGCCATAGCTCGAGTAACTGCACATGAAGGGTAAAGGTCAGGAATTTCCTGCCTCAATGGGATCAGGTATCTGATCCACACAAGGAGTGTCAGTTACAAGTGGAATTAACCACTACCTTATCTCCAGCTAAGTCATTACCTAGCAATAAATGAACACCTTTAAAGGGTAAGAAAGATCTTATACCAACAGCCACCGGCCCAGTTACCAAATCTGAGGACAAATTAATATTATGGAGAGGGACATTAGAAAAACCACACTCTACACCCTGAATAAGGACACTAGATCCAGAAGAAGACTTCTCAGAAAAAGGCAGTGTATTTGCTAAAATAAGAGATTAAGAAGCTCCTGTGTCTCTTAAAATCTTAATAGGAGTAGGTGGGCAAGTATCACCGATAAGTGACACGGAACCTTCCGAAAGGAATGGTTCATAAATCTCCATTACAGAATCAGACTTGGGTTCTTTGACCTTCAAAATTGCATTGTTATCAATACAAGACTGAGGTTCAGACCTTGAAGTGGTAAGACCTGTGGGTTTGGCCTCATCACGTTGCTGTTGCCTCCTTTTTAAGGTAAAGCAATCAGAAATAAGATGTCCAGTTTTTCTTGCAATAATTGCATGTAGGACGAAATAAGGGATTATGACCTTTATGTTCATCAGATGACTTTGGTTTGGGAGTATTTGACTGACTAGATGAGCCAGATAAATTACCAGAACTGAACTTGGAATTAAAATGTGAGGGTGTGGACTTCCCTTTATTTAAAAATGAGACTTTGTGGGTTAAAGAATAATCATCAGCTAGACGGGCAGCTTCTTCCAAAGTTTCTACCTGTTTTTCATCTAAGAAAGATTTAACATCAGGGTGAATGCAACGTTTAAACTCTTCAACTAACATGAGCTGTCTGAGCTTTTCATGGTTTTTATTAATTTTCTTAGATAGACACCACCGATCAAAAAGTTGTTCTTTTTCTCTTGCAAATTCGACATGGGTTTGACCAATTTCTTTCTTAGAATTTCTGAATTTTTGCCTGTAGGCCTCTGGTACTAACTCATAACCTTTCAGAATTAATTCTTTTACATTATCATAATTAGAGCTTTGTTCAACAGTAAGTTGTGTATAGATTTCACGAGCTTTACCAATTAAGACGCTCTGTAAAAGTAATGTCCAGTGCTCTATTGGCCATTTTAAATTTCAGCAACCTTTTCAAAATGAAGAAAATACTTATCAACTTCTTTTTTCTTGGAAAGGTGGAACAAGCCTAATATTTTTAGTGACATCAAATTTTGAATTTATTCTATGTTCAAACTGATTTGTTCTCTCTTTGATTTCTAATTCTCTCATTCTTAACTGAAATTCTCTCTCTTCTCTTTCTTTTTCTAATTTTCTCTCTTCTCTTTCTTTTTCAAACTGCCTTTCCCTTTCTTTTTCTTCCCTTTCTTTTTCTTCCCTTTCTTTTTCTAACTGTCTTTCTTCCCTTTCTTTTTCAAACTGCATTTTTTCTAGTTCAAATTTAAATTGTAATTCAAGCTCTTTTATCTTTATTTCAGAAATTTCAGAGTGCTTTTCAACAATCTGAGAAAGTGCATCTTCTCCAAAAATATCTTCATCCACAAAATAATGAATCAGAAGATTTTTAATTTCTTGTTTACGCATTGAAGATTTAATTTCTAATAAATTATACTTTTTTGCAAGATCGAGCAAATCAGTTTTCTTAGCCAAATCTAATACCTCCTGGGAAGGGTCAGCTACAAACTTTTCTAAATTAAGAGACATGACTGCTTGCTGCTGGTTTTAAACTCAGAAAGTGATGTGTTTCAAAAATTTCAAAATGAAAGGTACACTTAATAGAACAACTATGATATCAACTCAGATGAGTAAATACGGTAATAATAAAATGTAGAATAGATGGTAATAATTTCCAATAATGTAGCCAAAAAGAAATATTCAATCCCGGACGAGCCCCCAATTTCTGTTACGAGCCAGGCGTAACGAGAAAGAAAAGCCAGCAACAAACTTGTAACAATAACAAATTTATTACAGAAAAATTATTAAAGTAAAAATAAAATAAAAAATTATGTTTACAAATACCTGAAGTCCAAATAAAAATGAAATTACAAATGTCTAGTCTGATCCTGGAATGATCCTTTTTGAATAGCACAGTTAAATCCAAGTTAAATCCAAGAACACTTTAGAATAAATTCCCACAATAAAATCCACAAGAATAATTTTAACTATTTTAAAATAATCCAAGCTCCAATAAATCACTTAATTTCCAAGTTGAATAATACTCCAAGATAACTGATGACTTAAAAGATCACTGATGACTTCAAAGATAACTGATGACTTAAAGATAAGAGTAATGAAAAATGTCTCCTTATATATATTAACTAAGAAGTTTCTAGAATAGTCTTCCATTTACTACAGTAATCATAATCTAGCAACTTCAACAATAAAGATCATTCCAGAAATTTCTATCTAAATATAATGCATGAGTTTTCCACAACAGTTAAGAACGTTCTAGTACATACATGTAGTTTATGTTCTAAAAATAGAACAATGACAATATTGGAAATACCAACTGGTCAGATATAATCTATATACATGTAATATGTTGCATACATAACAACAGTGTAGAAAAACATTTTATAAAAGTGTTCCCCTGTGACAGTCGTGTTAAAATAGAACATTTGTTGCTGCAACTATATCAATAGCTTTATATTTTTAAAATACTTTTACACTTTTGTAGAATTGAAAGTAAACCCAATATATAGTTATATATATATATATATATATATATATATATATATATATATATATATATATACAAGTTGTTTATATATACATGTATAGTGCTACTTGTAAACATTTGTCGAATGCAATGACTTCTCGGTTTGTTTCTAAGCATCAAACCTCAAATTGGTGTTACACAGAAAATATAAGCACAATTCCATATTCTACAAGATGATAATTGCATTATATAATCATTTACATTGCAGACTCGGTTTGATTGAGGCTGTACATGAGGGATAATGATTAAGTGCAACATCCCTCACGCCCACAGCACCGGCTTGGATTGGAACTCAATTCTCAACACTTAATAGTAACTCGAGACCTGTATTACCGGCTCAGATATAATGAGGTGTGTTGCTTGTTTATACACCATACGAATATCAGTAATAAGAGGACATTGATAGTAGCTAATGAAGATATATTAATTGCACGTGCAACCCTATTTCAGAACACATATAATCTATCATAAAGCGCGAAACGTGTCTATATTCACGGAGAGACATTATGTTCAGTTTATTCATAACTTTGCGCTCTTAATGTAATAATGTTCTGTAAATGAATATTTTTTCTGTTCAACTGACTTAAATCTACATAATAGTTATAACCGTTCACATTGCTTTGTTTATCATGAAATATTAGTTTACTTTATTTCGCACAAATCCTAATTGTGCATACCATCTTGGATCAAATGCTAATTTTCCTAAATATTCGTCTCTAGTATGATTAAAATGCAATTCTTCGACACAGTCTAAGGCAAAATGGTGAGAAGTTAAATAAAATTTGTTGGCGAATAGTTCTCTTCTTGACGCAATTAAAGGGAGATCACCCGTACCGAACACACACACCAGACGTACTCTTTGACCGTGGCAAGGCCAGTTATATTTTCCTCCGCCCCAATTTTTAAAGCGAGCAACAAATGGTTTAATATCATCCTTCATATCTGTCTCGGGATACCCTGTAAAAATAATGGAACAGTCTATTGTAAAATTAGAAACATAAATCTTACTTATGCCGCTTAAAACCCGAACTGCCTAAAACTATGCGGCACACTGAAATTAGCGTTTTCGATTATATACGACAAATTAAATATTTATATGAACGGAATAAATCTACAATTATGGTAATGTATACAATATTTTTTCAATGACAAATGCCAATGTTAAACAAAATTGTGTAGGATTCTTTCTAATTTTATTGCAAGTTTGTCGGACAACTTCGATTTAAAAATGCAAATAATTTATTGACAACTGGCATGGTTTTCTTTCTATTTATTTGTAACATTAAAACTTTATTTCGATGGCTGATGGTGAATATACGATCGAATAAAAACACCCTTAAATAAAACCTAAGACGTCAGAATTGAAGATGTTACAGACTCGGTTTATGTTCATAGAGGTAACGGTAAGTGCAAGCCACCGTTCACGCACCCTAGCACCGGCTTATCAGAATTCAAACATTTATACAGGACACTTGTTAAATTTAGAAATAAGAAACATCCGTAGATGTCACCATACGACTGTGATCGAATCTTCAATGTCACACTTTATAACCATTCCATGAAAGCTGGGTATGGTCCCAAATCCGCTTGTTCTAAACGATAAACAATGTATCTGTAGGACAAAATCACGGGGGTTGAATGCCATATGGAACTCAAAATTGACATCGGTAAAAAGTGTATGTGAATTTCCGCTCAGCAAGTTGTGAGCTATAACTCGATGTGTGAAGGTGAAAAAAGATCAATCACAGGTAAAGTTTTCAACTTTTAACTTTTATATAAAATTCAAAGCTTTTCTTTAAAAGAAAATCGAAACGTGATTCTACCCTCCTGACTTTATCCATTTTTGTTCTGGATTTTTATGCAGTCTTCATACCGAGATATTCTTTCCTGCGTTGGTGCTAATGTGCCCAAAACATGCAATGCGTTGAGTTTTCACAAAATCTTACCACCAAACGATGTTTAATATTCAAACAAACTCGTATTGAAAATATTTTGAGATTTTGTTCAAAATAAAGAAATTGGATTAATGTTAAAAAAGTTGAAAACTTACCCTTTGATTGACATATTTTTACCTTCACATATTTATTATAGCTCACATCTGGATGAGCGGAAATTCACATATATTTTTTACTGATGCTCAATTTTGTGATCCATATGGGGTTCAAACCCCGTGAAAATGATTTTTTAAAGGGGATCTGACTGCTTTTCTATCAGACGTCTTCAAACAAATTTAAGAAGCAACCCATGAATTCCAAGGGCGATTGTACATTAATCAATTAGGAATAAAAGAACAACCCAAGAACAACAACAACAGAAACCACTTACCAATTACCATAAACTAAAATAGAGAGAAATACAGAATCCAGAATCCCTAAAGAAAGCTCAACAAGACAAAATTGAAAATGTTGCATACTCTGTTTGATTAAACCTGTTCACGGACTTTAATGGAATGTGCAAGTTACCGTCTACCCCCCCCCCTAGCACCGACGTTAGCAGAAAGCAACATTTAATCATGGTAATGATCAATGTTAGAATTAAGAAACATCCGTAGATGTGTTAATACGGCGGTTATCATGGAACCCTTAATCGGCTTGAACCGGAAGTGTTTAGCCTTTGTCACCAACATAGAGCAAGGCCTATCGGCACATCAAAGGAGTCTGACCAGCCTCTAATGTTGGCCGTTCAATTTTTGTTGTTGTTGTTTTGTCTTTTTTAGATTTTGATATTGCAATCCTTTAAGCTTGAACGGACTGTTACAGTTCCACCACACAAATCCGGCATATAAAGGGTTGATATTTATTTATATATAAATAAAAACTCACCTTTATATGAGCCTGGAACTCCTAGGCTAGGATTATGGTTTAATGATGAAAAAAATGTTTCATCTGGTACTTTGGTATATCTTGTCCAATTCAAAAGATCGTGTGCTCTTTGATCATGCAATACATAATCAACAAATCCTCGGCTGGCTGCGATATGGACCGACCCTTTTGTTGGAACAATTCCATGAGGCGGGGGACCAACACCCTCCCATCTACCTTTGTTAACGCTGAAAATACAAATGTCTTTTTATTATTCAACCAATGGTTATGAAATGAAAAAGCTTTGTAATGGTATATTTTAAGTTATATACATCATTTGTATAGTTATTGGGATTCGAACCTCACAAAATGTGTTTATCTATTTGATACGACAATCGGACTGTTGAACATTACGGTGACACTTCGTTTAGTACATTATTAGTAAATCAACAAAAAAGGACATTCTTACAAATACATGTAACTGGATTTTTTGAAACATAAATTGTTAACTAAAAAGTAGTCCTATTCAATTATTGACTTTTCAGCTGGTGAATATGACGTACAGAAAAATATTAATTGGTGAATTTTTTATTAGCCAGATTTTCACCGAATCATACATACTGTAAAGTTATGTTTCATTTTAAGATGGAATGAAAATAATCGGTTTTTAAAAGTAAAATGAAAGTTGTCTAATTCTTTTTCACGCAAATAAGCCCTTACAAGATGGACTTTGAAGTTCAACGCAGAAGATATTTCGTGAACGCCTTTTCATCATTGTAATTTTAACAAAAAGAACTCTGTTAGAATTCATTGACGGATACTTATTTCATGTAACGCTATTTTTTATTGGTACTTAATAAATACTTATTATAAAAAAAATCAAATAAAGCTACTTCATGCTCCAAGTTTGTGCGGTAGTTGAGTTAACACAAATATCACCTCGAATATAGAGGTCAACGTAACTTGGCCTGAACTGTAGATTCATGATGCAATGATTAACATTGATTCAGCATTCATAAATTACGTTACTTTCAAACATTCTTTTGTTGTTTTTTTTCCCGTAATAAATAACTGTGACATTTTAGTTTAATCAGTGGTTCTTAGGGTAAATTATATTTTGCATGCGGTAACACGTAACGGTATTATTCACGGATTTATTTCTAAAGGTAGTATCATTCTAATTTTGATGGTCTAAGAAATAATTTATCAGAAACATTCATATTTGATACAGATTTGTTAAGCCGACTGGGAATTTTGGTCCTTTGTCAGGTATTCATTCTTCCTATTCTATAAGGTAAGCAACTTTATTAACAAGCGCATGTACACAAATAAAGTCATATTAATCATTATGCTAATTGTGCTAAATTTGTCTAAAATACTGGTTTAAGCATTTCAGTTTGAAAGCATAATTTTTACGCTTTACTTCATGTCAGACTTTCTTCAAAATGCATTTGTTTTTATTTGTAAGAAAAAATATTTATAAAGCCTTAGTTCGGTTATTAAATTATTGAATCTTTCGGGTATTTATAAAATGGTTGTGTTTAAAGAATTAAGTCGCAGAAACAGTATTAATTGCTGTTTTCTATACGTTGACCAATCACTTAAAACGGACTTGATTCTTTAATTTTAGAATGCAACGCAGCGGCCATAACGTTGTACATTGTGATCTACAAAAGGCTTTGGACTCCGTTTATCGACAGGCACTGTGGTTTAAATTGTATCATCTTGGGTTGGATGGAAAACTTTTAAAAATGTTTAGGTCTATGTATAATATAGTTAAGTCTTGTGTTAAACATTCTGATTCCTATTCTGACTTTTTCAATATTTCCATTGGATTGAGGCAAGGCCTAAATAATTCGCCAGTCATGTTTGCCCTTTTTCTTGAAGACTTGGAACTTTTCCTGCAAGGATCCATTAAATCAGGTTTATCTATTTATGATATGTGCCTTATCATACTGCTATTCGCCGATGATATGGCAATTATTGGCCATTCTGTTGAAGATTTGCAGGCCAGTTTAGACAAATTATACGAGTACTGCCAGTACTGGGGCCTACAAGTCAACACATCTAAGACCAAGATAGTGGTGTTTCGTCGTAGGGGTGGGCTAAAATGTAATGAGCGCTGGCATTTCAATAATGTGCCTCTAGAAATAGTTAATGACTTCAACTACCTAGGGTGGTGTTTTAATTATACCGGCCCATTCGTATTAAATAACCAGTACATAGTCGGAAAGGCCTTAAAAGCCTCAAATATACTGCTAAATAATATAAAACAATATGAACTTAGCCCTTCGATATCGCTTCAATTGTTTGATGCTTTTGTGGGATCTATCTTAAACTATGCCTGCCCGCTTTGGGGCTTCACTAAGTCCAAAGAGTTAGAACGTGTACATCTCAAATACTGTAAAACGATTTTGGGCGTTAAATTAAGTACAAGTAACGTATCGGTCTACGGGGAATTAGGGAGGTATCCGTTATTTATCATTAGGTACACACATAAATAAAGTATTGGTTTAAATTACTGAATACGGATAACATTATATTAAAATGCATTTACGAAAATGCCCGTGACAAATGTGAAAATGGCACATGTAAAATTAAAAAACTGCTTGCGGTACTTGGTTTTGCTTTCCCGATAGTGTATTGTTAAAACAATTCTTACCTGTTTTTAAACAAAGACTTATCGATTGTTATTTACAAGAATGGCGTGCAGATGTATCTAGTAATGGTGTGCTCAGTCATCTATATTCATATGTAAAAGATCAGTTCTGTTATGAATTATATTTAGATAAGATTAATTGTAAATCTTTTAGAAGCGCTCTTACACGCCTTCGAGTGTCCTCTCACAGACTTAGAATTGAGTCCGGAAGGTATGGTCGAGGCCGTGTAGAACGCCACGAAAGAACTTGTCAATTCTGTGATACTAACGAACTCGAAGACGAATATCATTTTGTTTTAAAATGCAGTGCTTATGAAAATCTACGTAGTCAATATATTAAGCGATATTTTTACATTAGGCCTAGTATGGCCAAATTTATAGAACTACTACAATCTAAAAGTCATAAATTAATTACAAACTTATGTTATTATTTAAAAAAGGCAAACATCAAACGAAATGATTACTTCAGAAATCTTCAATAGTATTATGATGCAGTTTTGATTATATATACCTTGATGTTTTTTAAGTATATTATTATATAAATAATTTATCAAACAAATTCGATTAAAAGCGAAGTTATAGTTTGTTCTTCGCTTAAATTTAGTACTCTTCATTATTCATTTACAGAAGTAATTTAAAGAAATGGATATATAATTGATTAATGGAGTTTTGTCAGTGTATGTAATGTATCACATTGTATGTATTAAATATCCCATTGCTCAGTATTGTATTGATTTGTTTTTTTCTTTATGTGTAATTGTAAAATATGTGACCTATAATTATATTTAAAAATGCTTGTAATAACGATGTACCTATGTGTGTACAAGTTATGAAATAAACTCTGTTCTGTTCTGTTCTGTTCTGTGAATTTAAAAATATTTTCTAAGAAATAATGGTCAAATTAACATATCATTTAAAACTCTTGCTATCGCTATGTACAATGAAAATAATCAAATTATATCCGACAAAATTTTGAATTGAATATTCACCTACTGTTTAACTGTCGCTTCCAAGTCATTAGCACCATTATAGGCTTTTAATATTTGCACAAGTTCATAATTAGTTCTTAATGGAAATTCCTGTCCCGTCAGGTTGATAAAATATTTCCATGTTTTACTTTTGTTCCATAATTCTTCCATGCATAATAAATCCGGCTCTAACACTGTCATTGTTCCCCATTTTACGTCAAAACGCTTGCTTGAAATAAATACATTTTCAAAACAGTCTGCAATATAAGACATAGCTTTGAAAATGTCATCTGATGTCTTCTTGTCAACATGTATACAGTAAAAATTTTGTGGTCTATAAATGGCTCTTAAAAGTCGTTCGCTTTGTTCTATGTCTTTAAACATTAAAAGACTAAATGCAATATGAAAATTCTTTTCAACCTCTGTTAATGAATCGGTGATGTAACCTCTTTCAGATATAAAGTTTGAGCAATTTTTGGCAAGTTTTATATATTGTTCAGGTTTCACGCCAATTTTAGGCTGACTTTCGGAAATATTTTCCGCCTTTTTGGTCTCATTTTTATCACCATGTATGATAGCATTACAATTTACTTCCTTAACTAATCTATCAACTTTAAAGAAACGCTCCTTTTCAAGATCAGACTGTTCTAATTTATCGTCTGCTACAATGAAAGGTTTTGCTTGATTTATTAAATTTGATAGCCCATGTATTTTGACAGTTTTAAGTTCTGATTGTTCAGTTCCGTAAAAAGATCCTTTCAGATCGAGAACTTTATTTGTAAGATTGTATTTATCAACATGAAACATGACTTTTTCAGCATTATATTTTCCGTTGAAAGCATCATCTTCCACGTTTTCAAGGTGTCTTTGAGATCCAGTCTGCAAATCTATTTTTAGATCTCCTTGTCTAATTATAGACCGGTACTCAGCTAAATATAGAAGGAGGCCGCACACCGTTAAAGCTGCTATTATCATCCCATACTTCAGCACCGCCGTTGCCATGGATAAAACAAACCATCGGACCAGGCGTCTTTCTGAAGTCTAAAAATAAAACACAAAACTTGCCATGTTTTCAAAGAATTATGAGAATTTTAAATATTCTATGATTAAACTATTACAGTATGTGTATGTTTGTTTGCCATTTTTATTCGTTCGAATATGTGTGGCTTACGGATTTTCAACATATTGTCATGAAAACATTATGTTTAAATTGTAGTTTTGCTTGAGTACTGCTGGCATCGTGCATATAAAATGTTAAATATTGTACAGACAGTGCTGTTAAGTACATGTTTTGCACACACAAAAACATCTAAATAAAATTAGATCTAATATTAATTGTATTTTTTTAAAAAAAACGACGATCTGGGCTCTGTTATTTACTTCCCAGCCCCATTAGTTTTCTTTGAATAAATCTAAAACATTTGAAATATTTAAATGAAAACAATTTATAACTTATTTTTATAAGTCACTACATAGAATGATAAAATTCAGTAACTTTTATCCATGTAGCGTCATTTCGTTTCATTTCAAGAGTCCAATAAATCCATATCAAATGCATATCGTACCCTCGAAGTCTCGTTTAAAAATTTCATTTTG